ATTGCTTCATGTGTATGCAAAAGCTGGATAATTAATAAAGAAGACGAAAGAAGAATTGATGCCTTTGAATTATGATGTTGGCAAAGAATACTGAATATACATACCATGGACTGCCAGAAGAACAAAGAAATCTGTCTTGGAAGAAGTACAGCCAGAATATTCCTTAGAAGCAAAGACAGTGAGAATTCATCTCACATACTTTGGATATGTTATCAGGAGGGACCATTCCCTGGAGAACGATCACGTTAGACAAAGTAGAAAGTCAGCAAAAAATAGGAAGACCTTCAATGAGATGGACTAACACTGGCTACAACAATGGGCTCAAGCATAGCAACAATTGTGAGGATGGTGTAGCAGGAGGCAATGTCCTGCTGTAAATAGCGTCACTATGAGTTGGAACCTACTCGATGGCACCTAACAACAACAACAAATTCATATTCAAAGACACTCAGTTCCGAGAATTACTTCAACATTAGAAATAACTACTCATCATACCATATGTAAGTCTAAGAGACTAATGCTGCGTCCTGCCACCCTCACACTCATTTCCCTCAAATACAGCTCCTGGTTCTTGTAGCCAGAATTCTTTGAGAATATGGCCTTTGCCTGGCTAGATATTCACAAGATCATTTCTCCCCACTCACCCCTCCCCATACTGACAGATGCTGATTCCCAGCCTCCCTTTAAGTTAGGTATAATGACTTCTGTCCAATAGAAATGTGGGTCAAAAACTTGGCCAGAAAACCCTCTTACCCAGGACCTCCATTCTTGTCCTTCATCTGTTGACTTAAAGGCACAAGATCCAATGGAGAAGATCATGAGAAGGCCCTAATGGGTTGTGAAGTCACTAGATGAAAGGAGCCTGGCTCTCTGACTTGGGAGTACATCAACTGACCAGGAGCACCCATGTGGAACTGTGGACAAACGATAAATAAAAATTTATTGTGTCAAGCTATTGAAATTGTAGAGTGTTTTGTTGTAGAAGTTATCCTACCTTGCACAATACAGGGTATTGTATATTTATCATGCTTCCTTTCTCTGCTTTTCCATAACTGACCCTGACAAAGATACCAAATCTCCTTGGAGAAACCTGCTAACTGCTAAATTTAAGTGTTTTTTTTTCCCCCCACCAGCTATCCGTTCTTGCTCATATACTCCACTGAACTTTTGAAATTCAAGAATGTTTTGAAGTCCAATATTGAAAGCTGAAATAATTACTCCTTGTTACTTTCACAAGATCATGGTCACAAGAACCTGTCATTTCACATTCCGGTTGACACTAGGTAAACAGCAAATACATAGATTTCATTTTTTGCTGAGGTGCCAAACTGTATAATAGAGTTAGGATGATGCTGTGATCTCACAAAACAAAGTAGCTATAAAGATTTTCGAATTATTTCACCACAATATTTATCCCTAATAATTAAATATTAAAAAAATGTTTAGTATCTGTGGTGGTTATGTTTGTGTGTCAACTTGGCTGGGCCTTGTTGAGTGGCTGGGCAGCCAGTGGTAGTTACTCCCCATGATGAGACTGCCAATCAGTTCCATGGTGGGATCTACCACAAGCAGCTGAGTAGCTGCCTTTGGGATGTGGTCTGCGTACTGTATATGCCTTGGGAATGGTCTCTAGCATATGGCACGCTTGGACCCTGCACTTAGCCGTGTCGTTGCTCAGCAGCTTGCTATTCTCTGCAAACCTTGGGACTTAACAATGGACTTAAGTTAATGGCCTGCCGTGTAGTGTGGTAACATTGGGACTGTGCCTTTTTACTTGTCAACCTTGGGGCTTCTCAGCCTCAGCAGCCAGCAGCTGTCTGAGTGAAGAAATGCCTCTAGCTCCAGTGGGCTGGGAGCAGGAGGCAGAGCTGGACCCCAAGGTTGAGGGGCTTTCACCCAGCCCCTAGAGCCTGGCACTTTGAACTTGGACTTAAAGCCTCCAAATTCTAAGAATAAACTCCTGTTTGTTAAGGCCATCCCATTTGTGGTATATTCCTGTCAGAGCAGTACTATGTAATCAGAACAGTTCCTTTAGGTGTCTTTTTCCTTCTGTGATTCTACAGTTGTGAACCTGCTAAGCCCTCACAGGTTTTTAACCCTTTTTGTTTGCCACAGATCCTTTTTAAGTCTGGTGAAGCTAATGGACCCCTTAGCACAACAATACTTTAAAATATACAAATATATATATAGTATTTCAAAGAAAACCAACAGAATTTAAATATACTAAACCAAACTCATTGCCATGGAGTCAATTCTGACTCATAGTGACCCTATAGGACAGAGCAGAACTGCCCCATAGGGTTTCCTAGGCTGTATAATCTTTACAGGAGCAGATTGACACATCTTTCTCAGTGGCTGCTGAGCTTGAGCCATTGATCTTTTGGTTGGCAGCCGAACGCTTAGCCATTGTGCTACCAGGGCTCCTTGAAATATACTTATCAAAATGTTTAAAAAATGTGTTATAGTAATATGTATCTCTTTATTGATGCATTAATAACAAGATGTAGTGTGGGTCTAGTAATTATTGCAATTTTGAAGTAATGATGAATGGAAATGACATTTTGAGACATCAGCTATGAGTTGAGACTGACTCCGTGACAGTGGGGTGGGGATAACAATTATTGTGAAATGAAAGTATCTGTGTTTTTTATTGGTGACAAAATCACTGCTAATATTACTTAGTTTGCTGTCTACTCTCATCATTAAAAGAAACGTTAAATTTCAGTTAGAGGTTAATGAAACTAAAAATGCAATTTTTTCCCTATCCAAGTCCATACACTCTGAATACCATCTGTGGAGCCTGGGTAAGAACTCCAGGATCAGTGCTTTCTCTAAAACACTAACAGTGCTTATCTTTAAAATTTTCTTGTTTTTTGTATTTTTAAAAATTTCAAATTTTCAGCAATAGGCAAATATCACTTTTATAACTATTAAATGAATCACAAAAAAAGTGTAAAGTATATACTGGTTGGTAAGATTTAGGGCACAGAAATGTAAAATTTGAAAAACAAAGCAATGTTGGAAGAAAATGTTTTAGGAAAAGGAAAAAAAAATTCTGGACAGAAATGGAGAAATTGAACCTGACTTGCTTCAGAGAGACTTAAAGGTGGTGAACTCTTTATGCCATTTATCCTTACATGCAAAGGGATCATTCCAGAGCGCTGACTCAGAGCTGAAGCATCATAACTGTTTTAATAGCCCACATGGCTATTCAGGGGCCACATGTGAGCTAAGAAGATGGAATCCACAGGCAGCTATTACATAAGGTTAGTAATCTTATTTTTCATACACTCCACATCTCACACTCCTGTCTACCTCCCAATAGAGGTATGGGAGAGAGAAGCCAGACGGTGAAATCCAACTCCTTGCAGAGCCCATTAGACCCTTCTCAATCTTCTACCTTCTTATCTCCATGCATTTGCCTCTCTTGACTTTCTATAGTAAGCCAACCTTGTTCCAGCTTGGGGGTGGGGGGCTGGCTTTGTCTTTGCTAATCCTTCTTCCTAGCAAAGTCTACCTGCAGAACTCCTCCAGACCAGTGTCTACACTAAAACCAAACTTGCCCTCAAGTTGGAACAACTCATAGTGTCCCCCTCCTTGGGTTTCCCAGGCAGTATCACTACAAAAGTAGATTGCCCAATCTTCCTTCCGAGGAGTGACTGGTGGGTTTGAACCGCCAGCCTTCTGGTTAGCAGTCAAGTGCCTTGGGGGAGTAACACTATGCAAATAATTTCAGAGCTTGTAGTTGGCAATACTGTGATAATCACAGGAGTGGGTGGGCTGGGGTCTTTAAATAGAGCGTTCAAGGGAAGTCTCTGAGAAGACTTTAGAGCTAAAATGAAGATAAGGAGCCTGTGTTGTTGTTGTTATGTGCCGTTGAGTCGGACCCGACTCATAGTGACCCCTCCTTGGGTTTCCGAGGCAGTATCA